TTTGAAGGATAATTTTGCAGTGTATAGAATTCTAGGTTGGTTTTTTCTCTCAACACTTTAAATATTTCACTCCATTCTCTCATGCTTGCATGGTTTCTGAGGAGAAATCAGATGTAATTTTTATGTTTGCTTCTCTGTAGGTAGGGGGTTCTTTTCCTCTGGTTTTTTTCAAGATTTTTTTTTTTTACCTTTGATTTTCTGTAGTTTGAATATGATATGCCTAAGTGTAGTTATTTTGGCATTTATACTGCTTGGTGTTCTCTGAGCTTCCTAGACCTGTGTGTGGTTTGGTGTCTGACATTAATTTGGAGAAATTCTCAGTAATTATTGCTTCAGATATTGCCTCTGTTTCTTTATCTCTTTCTTCTCCTTCAGATATTCCCATTGCACATATGTTTTACCTTTTGTAGTTATCTCAGAGTTCTCAGATATTCTGTCCTGTTTTTTTCAATCTTTTTTCACTTTGCTTCTCAATTTTGGAAGTCTATTGTCATATCCTTAAGCTCAGAGATTCTTTCCTCAGCCATATCCAGTCTACTCATGAGCACATGAAAGGCACTCTTCATTTCTGATACAGTGTTTTTGACCTCTAGCATTTCTTTTTCATTGTTTCTTAGAATTTCCATCTTTCTGCTTACATTGTCCATCTGTTCTTGCATGTTGTCTACTTTTTCCCTTAAAGCCTTTAGCATACTAATCATGGTTTTTTAAAATTCTTGGTCTGATACAGGCATACCTCAGAGATACTGTAGGTTTGGTTCCAGACCACCACAATAAAGCAAATATTGCAATAAAGCAAGTCACACAAATTTTTTGGTTTCCCAATGCATATAAAAGTTATGTTTACACTACTATAGTCTCTTAAGTGTGCAATAGCATTATGTCTAAAAAAAAGCAATGTATATACCTTAATTTAAAAATGCTTTTTTTGCTAAAAATTTTAACCATCATCTGAACTTTCAGCAAGTCATAATCTTTTTGCTGGTGGAGGTTCTTGTGAAAAATGCAGTATCTGCAAAGCTCAGTAAAGCGAAGCACAATAAAATGAGGTATACCTGTAATTCCTGACATATCTGACTGTGGTTCTGATTTTTGTTCAGTCTCTTCAAACTGTGATTTTTGCGTTTTAGTATGCCTTGTAATTTGTTCTTGAAAGGTGGACATAAAGCAGGGGGTAAAGGGAACTGTGGTAAGCAGGCCTGTAGTGAAGGGTGGTAAGGTGTGTGGGGAGGAAGTCCTTTAGAGACCTATGATCAGTCTCGGCCTTTTGGTGAGCCTGTGTCCCTGGACTGTGAACTTCACCCTGCTTTTCAGTTTTCCCTTTTGGGTGGTGCAGCATGGCTAGAGTGGGCCGAAGTTGGGTATTTCCCTTCTCCCAGTTAGGTTAGACTCTGGCAAAATAGTTTCTCCTGAGGCTGGGCCTTGTTAAGAAGAGTAGAATGCTCTGGTGTATTTCCAAATGGTTACCTTCCCCCTCCCTCTGCCAGAAGCAGAAGGGAATGTTTCTCCGATATTCACTGTGAGAATCCAGCAGAGCTCCTGGGGGTAAAACTCCCAAAATGATGACTCCATCCCTCTGGAGTTTTAACTCTCCACCTTGTCCACCTTGAGCCTCCAGCAGTTTGTCCATATCCATTTACTTTTCCTGTTCTGGGGCTGGTTCCTGTGGAGCTTTCTGTTGGTGGGTTTCTGCTCCCAGAAGTTGTGATTCTCTGTATCTACCTGTATGTCTCTCCAATTTTAGGGGCAGTTTTGCCCTGTGACCTCACTTCTGAGATGGATCTAAGAAGAATTGTTATTTTTCCATTTGTTCAGCTTTTTACTTGTCAGGATGGAATGGTGACTTCTAAGCTTCTTACATGCTGGACCAGAAACCAGAACTTGGAAATGTTTTTATTTCTATTTTTACCTGTCAGTTCCAAATGTGGGAAGATCAGGAAATAATGGTGGCATGGAATGGGGATCATTGATAATCCCGCTAACAAAGGCAACCAGTGTTATTTTGATATATGTCTTTCCACCCTTTTCTGAGTGTATTTTTTTCTTTATACAAGTGAGATTATACAGTTTTCTTATCATCATAAGATCCTCAAACCCCAAACTGAACTAGATGTCTCCTTCCCTAAACGATCTTTTTCTTGTATCATCTGGATCATTTGGTCATCTGTCCCCACTTACCAAACCAGGAACCTGGGAGTTGTCTTTCTTTTCCCTCACAGCCATTCATACCCTAAATCATGACCGTTACACTTTCTAAATATTTTTGGCTGTGTCTTCCTGTCCCTTCTATTACCGCTTCTCCTGGTCAAAGCCCTCATCGCTTCTTCCCTAACTACTGCAAAAATAGAGCTTGTCTCTAGCATTATCTCCCTCAACTTCTGTACAGATGTCACTTCAGTGATAGATTTAAAATTCACATATAACCATGAGACTTCCCTGCTTACAGCCTTTCAAACCCTTCACTGGCTCCTCATTGCATTTAGGATAAATCCAAGCTCCTAAGCATGGCCTGGGTGTGTCTCTGTGGCCAGAACCCCAGCCTGCCTCTCCAGATTCATCTGCCAATGCTCCCTCTCCCCTGCTCTGTGTAATCCCAACTCCAAATACTCCTCCCCGCCACTTCACTTCTTATCTGTGTGCCTCATGCAGCCTTCCCTGCTTGGAATGCCTCCTCTCTCCCTGTCTCTTCACCTCCTCAATGCCTACTCACTTATTAAGACAGGTCAGCTGTTAGCTCCTCCTAAAAACCTTACTCTAGCTCCTGGACACCCCTCTTCCCCAAACTGGGTTTCTAGGAGCAAGTCTCGATCATTACATTTCCTTTCATTCATTTATTCATTCCACCAACTAACCAACAGTATTAGGGGTGCCCAACAGTATTAGGGGGACATGATGTGGCTATGTGCTAAAAAGATCACTCTGACTACTGGGTTGAAGCTAGGGTGGGGAAGAGGGAGTGCGAGGAAAGGGCAGAGGCCTGGAGACCAGTTAGGAGGTTGTTGCAATAATGCAGATGAAAGCACAGTTTGAAGAGACTGAACAAAAATCAGAACCACAGTCAGATATGTCAGCAACACTGCCCAACAGTGTTAGGCAGAAATTTAAGCACTAGGATACAGCAGATGATAAAAAAGTTTACTCCCTTAGGGAGCTTACATTCTAGTGAAGGAGATACATAATAAACAAGTGAAAATATATTTCCGTAGATGATAAATGCTGTGATGAAAAATAAAGTAAGAGGGATGGAATCTTCTGAGGTTGGAGAGGAGGCTACTATTTAAAGAACATGGTCAGGGAAGACCTCACTGATAGTATGGCCTTTGAGCAGAGAGCTGATGGAAGAGAGAACATGCCATGCACATATGTGAAGAAACCTTGCGATGAGTGTGCTTAGTGTGTGCCAGGATCAGCAAGGAAGGCGATGTGCTTACAGCAGAATGGGTGAGGGGGAGAGTGGTGGAAGATGAGGTTAGAGAGCTCATGACAGCCAGATCATGAAGGAATTATAGGCCATTATGAGAATTTTGGCTTTGGCTTTTACTCTGAGACCCGAAACCATGGAGGCTTTTGTGCAAAGAAGGGACATGATGTGGCTATGTGCTAAAAAGATCACTCTGACTACTGGGTTGAAGCTAGGGTGGGGAAGAGGGAGTGCGAGGAAAGGGCAGAGGCCTGGAGACCAGTTAGGAGGTTGTTGCAATAATGCAGATGAAAGGCGTTGGTGGCTTGGACTGACCAGCATAGAGCCAGTGGAGGTGGTGATAAGTGATTGGATTTTGGATATATTTGGAAGGTAGAGCCAACAGGATTTATAATGGATTGAATAAGGAGTCTGAGAAACAAAACAGGAGTCAAGGATGACTTCTAGGTTTTTGGTCTGAACAACTAGAACAACAGAATTGCTATAAAGTGGGAAAGATGGCAGGAGAGTTTTGGATGTAAGATTAAGAAACCTTTCAGGCCTCTAATTGGAGACATTGAGTAGGTAGTTGGAGGTGTGCGTCTGGAGTTCAGAAGAGAGGTCTGAGCTGGAGATGAAAATCTGAAAGCCGTCAGCATTAGTTGATATTCCAAAGGTATGGAGGAGATGAGAGAGAAGATAAGAGGTGAGATGACTGAGTCCTGGAGCATTCTACACTTGAGAGGCCAAAGTGATGCAGAGGACCCAGCAAAGGAAGCTGAGAAGGCATGGCTAGTGAGGTAATAAGAGAACCAAAGAGAGCAGGAGCAAGTGAAAAGTGCATTTTAAGAAGGAGGGAATGATGACCCATGTCCAGTGTTGCAGAAAGATCGAATAAGATGAGGACTTTGTATTATAAGTCTCTGTTTATGTATTTGTCTCCTTCAGTTGGCTGAGAACTCACTGGGAGCAAGAACGCATACAGCAATGTAGTTCCAGCTTTGAAATCAGTGAGATACAGTCATGCCATTTAATGGCTAATTTTCCTTGGGCTTGTTCTCTCAGTCCCTCTGAGCTTCAGTCTCATCTGTAAAATGGGGAGGATCTAGTATCTTTTCCATTGAGCCATTGTCAGGATCAAATGAGATCATATAGATGAAACACTAAGCGTAATCCTATTCATATACAGTCATGCGTTGCTTAATGATGGAGATACGTTCTGAGAAATGCGTCGTTAGGTGATTTCATCATTGTGTGAACATCATAGAGTATACTTACACAAACCCAGATGGTATAGCCTGCTACACACCTAGACTATATGGTACTAATCTTATGGGACCACCATCGTATATGTGGTCCATCATTGACTGAAACATCGTTATGCAGGGCATGACTGTAGTTAAACATGTGACATTTATTATCCTGACTGTTAATTTAGTATACGTGACACAGTGCCCCTCCCTATTGAGCAACAGTTATTAAATGATTGAGTGAATTGCCTTTTTATTCGTTTGTTTGTTTGTTTTAATATTTTATTCAAGGTGTTTCCTTGTGTGCTTGTGAAGTAGTAATGTGGCATTTTTCAGATCTCTCTAGAATCTAGTGCTGATCCTCACAAAGTGGATTCTGCAAGAAGAGAGGAAGAGAAGTCCTCAGGCAGAGCAGCTGCGATGGAGCTCCCCAACTACAGCCGGCAGCTGCTGCAGCAGCTCTACACTCTGTGCAAGGAGCAGCAGTTCTGTGACTGCACCATTTCCATTGGTACCATTTACTTCAAGGCCCACAAGCTTGTCCTGGCTGCTGCCAGCCTCCTCTTCAAAACCCTGCTGGACACCACAGACACCATCTCCATTGATGCATCTGTGGTGAGCCCCGAGGAGTTTGCCCTTTTGTTAGAAATGATGTACACTGGCAAACTACCTGTGGGCAAGTACAACTTCTCCAAAATCATCTCTTTAGCTGACAGCCTACAGATGTTTGATGTGGCTGTAAGTTGTAAAAATCTTCTAAGCAGCCTTGTAAACTGCTCTGTTCAGGGTCAGGTGGTGAGGGATGTCTCAGTACCATCCTCAGAGTCATTCAGGAAGGAATTGGAGAAGCCAGAAGTAGAAATCCTTTCCTCCGAGGGTGCTGGAGAGCCTCATTCTTTCTTGGAGGTTTCTATCCCTCCAGGGGGCCCTGTGAAAGCTGAGACTGAGGAAGCAATCCAAGAGATGAGTGTGGATCCTTCTACTGCCCAGGAGATTCAGGGGAATGCAGACACCCCCGTGGAGACTCCTCATGCAGCTCAAGTTTGTTCCCTCTCCCCTCTTGTACAAGCCTTTAGTGAGGCAAAGGACGCAAGCACAGAACCAGGTAACATTCATTTAATAGTTGTTTTGTAATCTGTCCTTGTGTTGTCGATGACTGGATTCAATGATCTTTATGAATTTTCTTGTTTCGTTGATAAATTTACCAAAGACCACTGTTAGATAGGAAACCAGAATCCAGTGTGATACTCCTACTGGGGCATCTTCTGTTAAAAGTGTGTGAGTGTTGGGAGTCTGAAGATGAACCACAGAGCAGAGAAGCAGTATGGAAGTACGATGTACCATTTTTGATACTTACGCATCATTGTAACAAGGATGAGGGTGGCACAAAGGAGGAGGAAGCTGTTAGAGATGCTGTTTTCTATTGCTGGTAACTGGTGTGCTAGGTACCAATTATAAATGCAGTATGTGACCTAAGGGTTCTCAGCTTAAACTGTTAAAATCATTTGAAGTAATGAATCACTGATTGATTTGTTTTACATTCAGAGTATGCGAAGAAACACTACCAGCTGAATTTTCTTCTAGAAAATGAAAATATCTTCTCAGACGCACTCTTGATTACCCAGGATGTCTTAAAAAGACTAGAAGAATGCTCAGAAATTAAAGGTGCACAGAAGGAGGTAGGTACCGTGAGTTTTATTTGTTTGCTAGTTAAGTGTTCTCAGCATACCTGATCATCTTCCCATATGGGGCAGAAATATGAAAATACAGAATACCGCAGGGTCTCAATTTTTTCAAACTTTAATTTTTTTCTTTGACATGTATTTCCTAAAGGGCAGTCTTGCAAAAGTACTAGACAAGATAATTTCAAAACAAAGTTATATTTTGATCACTAGGTGAATCGCAGCTTGCAGCCAGTTTTGATCTAGGATATTTAACTGCTCGTACCATTCTCTCCTGATTAATCAAGGATAAAGTGAGGCAGAATATAGTCAGGGATAACCTCAAATCAGAGTAAATAATAAAAACAAAAACAAAACAAAACTATAACAAATACTTAAAACATGGTACAAAAAGGATTTAATGTAAACTTACATAGTAAATTGCATCCAGTGTTTAAGAATACAATGGCCGGGGCCGGCCCCATGGCTTAGCAGTTAAGTGCGCGCGCTCCGCTACTGGCGGCCTGGGTTTGGATTCCGGGCGCGCACCAACGCACCGCTTGTCCAGCCATGCTGAGGTGGCGTCCCACATACAGCAACTAGAGGGATGTGCAGCTATGACATACAACTATCTACTGGGGCCTTGGGGAGAAAAAGGGAAAAAAAAAAAGGAGGAGGATTGGCAATAGATGTTAGCTCAGGGCCGGTCTTCCTCAGCAAAAAGAGGAGGATTGGCATGGACGTTAGCTCAGGGCTGATCTTCCTCACACACACACAAAAAAGAATACAATGGCCATTTTCAGATATAAAAACAATAATGGTGAACATTTATTGAATACTTACTGTGCTACGCTTGGTACATATGTTTTCTCATTTAATCTTCACAAAAATCACTGAGGTGGATACTGTTTTACTATTTTTTAGCCCTGTTTTATGGGTGAGAAGACTGTTTCAAAGAGGTGATGTAACTTGGCCAGGGTCACAGAGCTCGAAGACTCTGAGCAAAAATTCAAACCTAAGCATTCTGACTTGAGAGCTGTTCTCTTACACATTGACTTATACTGCCTTCTAACAGGGTAAAAATGATACCGTGTATGTCCTGTACGTATGCGTGTTTAGGAATTGCCTGACAGAAAACTGCCAAATGGTTATCATGCTCTGCTTCTTAGCTGACTTTTTCTTTTTTCCAATATCTCGGTGAAACACATCCCACCTGTGGACTCTCTCACTGCCTGATTCTTCACAGTTGACCCTGCAGGATTGACTCCACAGCCGCCTTAGAACTCCCTTGCTCCCCCTTTCTCCCAGCCCCGCCTCCTGTTCTGAGAGGTGAGAGGGCATTGTCCCCGCAGCCCTGCTCATCTGATTGTTGAGGTGGTCTGGGGAGGTCTCCCATGTTGCTGTAGGCAATTTAGTGTCTGCTAGTTATGTTAATCCAAGCAATAGATGCCTTCTACTATTGAAATATTATCCTGATTCATAGCAAGTTACTTTTCTAACAACAAACTCAAGGTCAAGTATTTATTTTAACTATGATTAATTGACAGTTGGCTATAAATTGTTTTCTTGAGAGATAAGCTGTTTACAAGACTTGGCTAACCTTGATGACTCTGTTAGGGAGGTTTCAAGTTGTAAATCCTTGGTACTCTGTACAGATTATGCTGAAGGACGTTATGGTTATGTTTTTGCACTTGAATGTTCTCTTAACTATTCAATCCATCATTTTTGTCACTAGTTTGTTACCTTGATAGCTTGTAGACACACCTCTTCATTTTCTCTTAATGCTTCCTCTCCACTTAACTTGGGTTACAGATGAGCAACATGGTTCCTTAGATCAGCGATTCTCAGATTATTAGTGTCACCTCTGTACTCACTTGAACTGTGTCTGGTGTATTTTTTTCCTAACACTGGTGCCTAAAAGTGTCTGGCACAAAACAGGTGCTCAAGAAATGTTTGCTGTACATGGATTCATTCAACATTTATTTTTTCCCCCAAATCTTGTTCTAATCTTTTGATGGCAATAACATTAATAGTACTGTGAAAGAACGCTGATTCACTGTTGGTGATCATTATAGGCTTATCTTATTTCTTCCTCGGTTTCAGAGGTCAGAGTGAGAGCCCTACAAATCGCTTGGTGGCTATATTTAAAACGATTCTTTTATATTCCATAATAAGTCTTTCAGCTGCAGAAAGAAAAAGGGAAAAGATACTTTAAGAACATAAGATTAAATTAAATAAAATATAGAGTTGGGGAGGTACTGCTTTGTGCTCAGGCTCTGTGCTTCTCTCTCTTTTTTACTTTCTTTTAGACAGCTTTATTGAGGTATGGTTGACATACAATAAACCGTACATATTTAAAGTGTATGGTTTGAAACCATCACCCCAATCAAGTGAACATATCCATCACCGCTGAAAGTTGCTGCACATCCCTTTGTAATCCCTCCCTTCTCTTTCCACTCACCCAGCCCCAGGTGACGCTGAGCTGCTTCCAGCTCTGTGGGTTAATGTGCATCGTCTAGAGTGTTATATGAATGGAGTTATATAGTCTGAATTCTTTTTGGTCTGGCTTCTTTCATTCAGCGTAATTATTTTTGAGGTTCATCCATATTGTTGCATGTTTTTCATGCGTGTTGTTCATTCCTTTTTATTGCTGAGCAGTGTTCCATTGTATGGATATAGTTTATCCGCTCTACCATTTACTAGCGTTGTGACCTTGAGCTACTTAATCTCTGTAAGCCTTAAATTCCTAATTTGTAAAATTTGTAAAATGTTATGTATGTTTTGTATGTTATCACCTACATTATAGGGTCATTGTGAAATTAATTAAGATTATTTATGTAAAACTCATGCTAAAATGCCAGGCACATAGAAGGAGCTCAGTAGGTGGTGACTGCTATTTGTTTATACGTTAACTCAGTATTTTTAGACTTGGTGGACCTTGAAACCCCTTTTTCACTTAATATCTTAGTGCCATGGTCATTTACTCTGGCACGTGAGAATGGTTTGCTGTTACTTTAAGCTTAATTTGCAGGTCATGCTTTCAAATAGGTACATTATCCACTGGGAAGTAGCTTCCTGAACTGCAGGTGTAGTGTCTCATACAAAACCATCAGGTTCTAGAACAATGGTTCAGTATGTATAAAAATCATCTGGTGCACTTGTTAAATTGTGCACCTCCAGACCACATTTCTAGAGAGTCTGATTCTTAGGTTATGATAGAGCTTGGGAATCTCCATCTTTAGCGAGTTCCCCATGGACTGCTGTTTTGGCCTCTAGACCACATCTTGAGAAGCACTGGTGGAGAAGTTAATGGCTTGCAAAATTCTTAATGTATGAGGGCAGATGTCCCAATGTCTCTGCTGACAACTCAGTGTTTTGAGGGGCCACTGACTACCCATTTTTCCCGTGTTACTCTTTGCTTTCCCCTTGATTTGCAAATATTTATTAGCAACTGGTACATGCCAGGCATTGAGCTAGCTGCTAGGAAAATAAACATAAGTTAGACTGGATCCCTATCCTTATGGAATGTCTTGACAGCAAAGAAATCCTGCCACATGTGTAATTTTTGGGGAAGTATGCAGGGGAGTCACCAAACTACAGGAATCACCAGAAGACCTCAGTGTTGAGAGCGTTTAAGAACTCTTCACTTGGAACATCATTCTGCATTTCAGCTACCATCGTAAAGGTTGTTTGGGGTTTTTTGCTTGTTTGTTTGTTGTTGTTTTTCTGTTTATACATTTTTAGCTCCCAAAGAGCTTTGAATGTTTTTTATTGTTATTGGTTGTTGTTATTTGGTTAATCATCATAACATAACTTGAGACAGCTTAACATTAAAAATAATCTCCCCTTAGATGTGTAATTTTGAGGCTTGCTAACGCTTGTGAGTGATGTTCTGGTTGAGATGGACCACCCTATTCCTTTTCTGAAAAGGAATATGCATCTGGACTGTATTGAATTTAGGGAGGACACCATGAAGCAGTGTCCTGATTATTTTATTTCCTGAGATAAATGATGACAGGTGGCAAAGCCATTCGCTGAGGAGTGATTGCAGCCACATGAGAAGAGGCTGGGCTGCTTGAATTTTGTGAAACCAAAGCCAAAACTGATTAAGGAGAAGTCTCTTGGGTGCTGGGATGGGAAAGTGTCTTCTGCCTGTCTTGATCTCAGTGTAATATCCCCTACCCGTTAGAAAAAGCAGATACTGACCTAAGAGGCTTTCTGGCTGAGCTGAGTAAAACCTGTATTTAAAGGCAGACTCATACTTTTTTCAGCTTTTATGCTAGAACTTTTAGTTGTTTTCTTTCTTTATTCCTAGCCATGTCCCTGCTTTTAATTAATTGTGTATATAGCGAAGTGAGTCTTTGACTAGAATAAGCAGATAACTTTTTCTGCTATTGATTTTCTTGCCGTTTGATCCACTTTTCACCTAAAGTTCTAGAAAGACTCCCGAAGCTGAAGACCTGGTAGCCTTTTTTTCTCCTTCAATTTTGTTTCAAAGGCAAACAAGTCTCCGCTCCTTCGTGACTGATGTTTTCCAGCGTGTCACTACTTACGAGGTTTGTCAAGAAGTGCAGGTCGTTGTTTCATGGGCTGTGGTGCTGACAGTGTAGGGTGACCCTCTTGAGAAGGGAGTTAGTAGGATGCATTTTACAGGTCTATGAGAGATGAAAATAAATTGTTTTTCCAGATCTCCTCTCTGCTAATTATGAAGTCTAAGATATGCAGCCATAGATAGAAGAACTAGTGGTTTTATGGGAAGGGAATTTCATTCAGTTAAACAAACATTTATTAAAGACCTACTGTGTACCAGTCTCTATACTAATCATTGACACCAAGAGAAGTAGTACAAATTGTCTAGATACTACCCAGTATTCAAAGTCATGTTGATTCTAGTAAGTCCAGTAGAATCCAGTGTAAATGGATTTGGTTACACTCAAAATCTGGAAGATGGAACTCGGTAGAAGGGGTGCCAGGTCAATGGAATGAGCTCATTGTTTCATCCAGGGTGCTCTGCTAACTAGCCGTGCAGCCTTGGGCGAGTTACTTCACCTCTGTGACTCTCATGTAAGTAGTCGTAGTAATGCCTCCAAGGACTAATGTGAAGAGTAAAGTGGATGCACAGTGTCTGGGAAGGTGTTGAGCTGTTGTGGTCTGTATCATTACTGCCATGGTCTGGCCCTTCACATTCAGGGGAGGCACCAGCGAACAAGAATAGAGTGTAACCTAAACATAGGGCACATAGTAGGCAGTAGGCAAACCGTTGGGAAAATGAGGAAATTCAATTCAAAGACCTAGGTGTAAGGGAAAGATTAAATGACTTTTCACATATAATAGAGGGAAAGGAAACTGTCCCATCTTTAAATGTGTTGACCTATATTTCACTTAGAGATAAAAGTACTTTGATTACACGTGTGACCATGAATTGATATGAATTTATTGAAGCGCCTTTAACTCTAAGAATCAAAGGAGTTCCAAATGTATGGTTAAAGAACAAAACTCTGTTTGGGTTCATCTCTTAGAGTTCTGTTACATAGTAGCAATTAGTGAACCCCAGCCTGTAGCAATATGTGACACCCTTCTGTTCAGGCAGATGCACTATTTCAGAAAAGCGCTCACTCCACTGTGGAGCCCCAGGCAGCTCAGGAGGCCGATGGATTAACAGTAACAACACTGGCTCAGGTGCAGGTCCCCACTAGGTTCTGGAAGAAAGAGCAGAGAGCAGGGCTTGTCCAGGCAGCTGACTGCTCCCTCCTGGCCCTTTCATCAGCCCACCCCTGCTTCTCTTCCCAGATGGTCACCCTAGCATCACTGCTGAGCAATGAAGTTAACAAATGTTTTAATTTCACTGCTGAGTAGTTCTGCAGAGGAGGATATAGCAGAGAGGATAATGAGAAGCGCATAAGATGCCACCATTGATGAAAGCTTCTCTTCCCCACTGGCTCAAATGGTAATGCCAGACAAATTGGATACTGAGAGAGGTGAATTTGGGATATTCAGAGAACTTCGGGTGAAAAAACACTGGCCTAGGGTAGAAAGAGATAGCTATATGCTATATCAGTTAAGATGCGTAAAAGAAAGGACGGAAGGAAAGGAAAAATAAAGAGGAAAAAAACATGTTTACTAAGGGCATTGGCAATGAGTGGGTCTGTATTCTGTCTATCGCTGTGTAACAAATTACTCTAAAATTTAGCAGTTTAAAAGGAGCAAACATGGGGTCCGGCCCCGTGGCGTAGTGGTTAAGTGCGCGCGCTCTGCTACTGGCGGCCCCGGTTCAGATCACAGGCGCGCACTGATGCACCGCTTGTCGGGCCATGCTGTGGTGGCTGTGGTGGCGTCCCACGTAAAGTGGAGGAAGATGGGCACAGATGTTAGCTCAGGGCCAGTCTTCCTCAGCAAAAAGAGGAGGATTGGCATGGATGTCAGCTCGGGGCTGATCTTCCTCACAAAAAAAAAAAAAAAAAAAGGAGCAAACGTTTATTACCCCGTGGTTGCTGTGGGTCAGGAATCCAGGCATACTTAGCTGCTGAGTCCCTAGCTCAGGACTGATAGGGCTGCCCTCAGGGGATCAGCCGGGGGTGGGTGGCAGTATCTTTTTCTGAGCTCACTCACATGACTGTGGACAGGCTTCAGAAGATCCACTTCCAAGCTCACCCAGTCTCTGTTGGCTGGAGAAGTCAGCTCCTTGCCAGGTGGGCCTCTTTGTAGGGCAGCTCACAATGTGGCAGCTTTCTTCCGGAGCAAAGACAGAGGGAGAGAGTGCACATATAGACAAGATGGAAGTCACAGTAACCTGGCCTCAGAAGTGGCATCCCAGTACTTTTGCCATATTCTCTTCCTTAGAAGCATGGCACTAGGTTCAGCCCAAGGGCCTGAATACCTAGAGGCAGGGATGTTGGGAACCATTGTAGAGGCTGCCGACCTCAGGTCCCTTCCACTGTCAGGGAGAAGGCATTCTAAAGAAATTTTAGGCCAACTAACAAAACTATGAAAGGTTGAATAAATGTAACTGAAAGGGATTAAACATTCAACTGATGTCTTTATCTCATTTGTTTATTATTTTTAAAATAGAGACAAGAAGAGTTAGTTTAGGTTCATGGAAATTACTTATTGCAGTATAATCTTAATGTGGATTACTAAACTGTGTTTTATCTAAGTTTACTTTTGTAGATGACCAAAAAACATAGGACCGTTTTTTTTTTTCAATTTTAATTTAGCTTTATACAGCCATTCTGTGATCAGGAAACAAGGTAAAGCAAAGCCAAGAAACATAGAATCTAACTCATTTATAATTCCTATTTATTTGGGAGGAGGAGAGAGAGATAAAATCTCTCTAAATAAAAATTTTAAATATATAATTACTACCAGAATTTATAATTGTCTGACTGAACTTTGCAAGTGTAGATAATCATGAGATCCTTTGGTGTTATGTGTGTATATAGAAAACTTGAACTTTTTGCTCTCTAAAGACTCTCGTGAGAAATCTCTTATCTTCTTTTATAGTATTGACACTAAAAAGCATCAAAGGTAGGTTGTAGTTTTGCCAAATAGAAATATAAAGACTATACACATGAAATGAAGTTTTGGTTCCAGATTTTTTTCAAATAAATTCATTATTGGTAAAACAGAAATACTAATCCTGCCTTCCAATTCGCCTTCCTCCCATTTGTGTGAAAGATGTTAATTTTGTTTATTTTACCACTGGAGTTGTTGATATTTTAGTACTCTAGGTTTAGAGGAGTCAGGATGGTGAGCTCGGTTTTAGACGTGTGGTGCCGAGACCTCTGGAGAGTAAGGGCATATCTAGCAGAAACTGTGTGGCTCTAGATTTAAACAGAAAGCTTAAGATTAGAGAGCTAGTTTTCAGGGTTATCTGCATAAAGGTGACAGTTAAAGCTATACATGTGAGAGCTTTTCTAAAGGGAGAAAAATAAAAAGTCTTAGGTACTGCTTATGGTTATGGATTTGGAAGAAGAACCGATGAGAAAGGCTGAAAAAGCGTGGTCAGAAAGATGAGTGTTTACCCAAAATGCTTCAGTGTTATGAAGTCCGAGGAGAATTGTGATGCAGAGGCAGTAGTAATGCCAAATGCTACAGAAAAGGTCAAGTAAGCAGGGATCAAATTGTTGAGGGCCTTACTTGCCAAATCCAAGGAGCATGGGTTCTTGTGGCTAGTCTTTCTGGGTACTTCTGTTCCGCAGACCATAATGGGATGTCTTGAGGGTGAAGAAGGACGTTCCGCATTCCAGAGAATCCTGGGTAAAGTGAGAGATGAGAGCCTGGATGTTCAGACTGTTGTGTCCATGTTGAGGCTGTACCAAGATTCTAATCCTGCAGTGAAGACCGTGCTGTCAGACAGAAAGCCAGGAGATGGAGAAGCAGTGCAGCCAAAAGGTAGGAGAAACCCTATCCACCCGAGTGACTGAATTTTGTTCTGGGAAGATGCTGTCAAGTGTGCTCCAATGATACATTTCTTGAGTGGCGTGGCTATTGTTAAGTGATTTTCACATAAATTCTACATGTCATGCCAGAAGCTACATGTTAAATATATACAGACTAAATTTGAGTCTCCATTTCTATCCCCTAGTTAACTAGTCTGACACCTTGCAGTTGGAGAATACCATCAGTGTTCTCCTGCCCTTCAAAAAGCCACCCATCCAAATCAATGTTTTAGTGCCCAGGGTGAGCTGGTTTGCTGACAGCAGTTAAAGGCTGAGGTTTCTCTCATTTGGGTTAGGTACAAAGCAGTAGCCTTGCCAACCAGAAGTTAACCTCTGGCTGGCTCTGCAGCTTTGTGTTTCAACAGATAAATGAAACATTTTTCCTTTCATAGAGTTTAAACAGAATAATAAAGTATTTTCCTTTCCAAAAAGAGCTTCTGCATTCGGGTGCTCAGAAAAGGCTGAGAATCACTTTACTATTCTGTTAGATCTCTCGTGACAAACCCTGCTGTCATTTTCTTCAAATTGACGAGCTTCTCTTGTGCGTCTCGATCTCTTTCTCCCCCAGGGAGCACAGAGGAGGGAAAGACCTTGTCTGTTCTGTTACTAGAACACAAAGAGGACCTGATCCAGTGTGTAACACAGCTGAGACCTATTACGGAGTTCCTGGAAACAGCCAAGGAGGAATTCCTGACTGGCACCGAGAAAAGGGTAACTGTGTCAAGTATCTTTCTCCCTTCTGAAATCAGATAGCACTTGTTTAAACCTCTTTTGTGGCACACGGCACTTTTTGCCTTGTAGTATTTTTGTGTGTGCTACATAGTAAGCCCCTTGAAGTTCAGATTCTTGATTCATGCCTCTTTGTATCCCTTGCAGCAGCTTGCTGAGGGAGGGCCTTGCACGTTGTAGCTGTACATGAAATGTTTAGATGCGTAGACAGATGGATATTCCTGCTCTGACTCAATGAGTTTTTAATATAAAACAGTCGCCCCAAGAATTAAAGTGTTTGGTCACATTTTTAATTATTATGACACTTTTCCTCTTTATAGAAATGATAACACTGTTCATCTGTAGAAAATTGGGAAAACAAGCAGAAAGAAAAAAAATTCAAATCTCTCATCATATCACCACTCAGAGATGATCACCGCTAACATTTTAGAGCATGTGCTCCCAGTCTTTCTCATTTGAATCATCCAGAGATGGGGTTATCATACAATTTTGTAACTTTGGTTTTTTATTTAATATATTGTGAATACATTTCTATACCTACAATGTGGATTTTGGTATCTGTATTGTATTCTGTCTAATGGATATACTCTAATTCATTAATTCTTTATTTTGGGTATTTGTTTCCAATATTTTGCTTTTCCAGTATTTTCTTATTATAAATGATGTTGCAGAGAACATCCTTGCCTACAAATATTTGCATACTTCTAAAATTATTTCCTTAGAATAATTTCTAAGAAGAGGGGTTTGGGAATCAAGAGAGTAAAAATTTTCAAGTGGTTGATATATATTGCCAAATTGCCCTTCAGGAAGGTTGTACCAATTTACTTTCCCACCAGCTAGCTACTAAAATCCTCGTAAAACTGCTGGTATGACTTCTCAGGTCAACTAGATAACTGTGTTTGTTGCTGTTATTGATTTCAACTTTGTGCTAAAAATATTTTTATATCTGGAAGGAAGGAGTAGGGACAGGGAACTTTTGCAGCATCAATTCTTAAAACGGTGGGAAGTGGCTTAAATGTTCAGGAGAGAAAATGTTTAGAAACGACTGTCGCAATGGCTAAGCACTGGATTACGAGTGAGGACCAGATCCTAGATTTTCTCTTTCTCAGTGATCTTATATTCCTATTTTTTCGTGTAAAATGGGAACAATCTTTAATCTCAAAATTATGTTTTGCAAGTTAATTATGTTTTTAAAATTTTAACTGCTTTGAACTTCTTAGAGAAAGATAATATACAAAATAAGATTAAACCCATGTTTTCTCCTTAGACTTCATATTAAGTATAATTTCAGGCACTCGTTAAAGTTGCTTATAGCTCTAGAAGTACCTGATTCCCTGTTTAGTGATTTCATTCGATTAGTCATTCAAACCTTTTCCTTATTAGCTAGATTGAACGTGTCCCTTGAACTGTTTCATTATCCTGGTAAAACAGCATTTGTAGGAAGAACCTAAACTCTGCCTCATTCTCTGCAGCAGGACAGACCAGACTGTCATTTTCTTCTGTCACTTTCAGTTCACTTGACAAAAGGGCTGAAGCAGAAGAACTTAAATCAGTTATAAATCACAAAAACACCCCTCAGGATTGGGGTTACACCAGAGCTTCATTAAGCTACTCCTTCTCACGAAAATTGAAGCAAAATAATAAAGCAGGAGTGTAGAGGTAAATGTTGATTGAATAGCCACAGTGTCTTGACATCATGTGGCATGTGCGCTCAGGCCTTTTAGAACTTTTCTGTCATCTGGAATGATGGTAATTGGGGCACCAGGACCCTTGTTCGTACGTACCTTGGGTTCTGTAAGAAATGATAAATAGGAATGTCTTTACCTCAGGATTGGAAACATACAAAAACAGTCATTACTACAGCTGCCATTTATTTATTGCTTACTGTGTGCCAAGCAGTGTGCTGAGGGCCTTTTAAACATCGCTAAATTCTACCCTCACAGCAAGTTTATTAAGTTATGGATATTACCCTAATTTTAAAGATGAAGAAACAGACAATTAAGAAGGTTAAGCAGCTCACCCAAAGACATAGCTGCTTGGGGCCAAACTGGAACCCAGACTTCTAAACAAAGCATATTCTCTCTTTTTTTTTTTTTTTGTGAGGAAGATCAGCCCTGAGTTAACATCCATGCTAATCCTTCTCTTTTTTTGCTGAGGAAGACCGGCTCTGAGCTAACATCTATTGCCAATCCTCCTCCTTTTTTCTTTCCCCAAAGCCCCAGTAGATAGTTGTATGTCATAGTCGCACATCCTTCTAGTTGCTGTATGTGGCACGTGGCCTCAGCATGGCCAGAGAAGCAGTGCATTGGTGCGCGCCCGGGATCCGAACCCTGGGCCGCCAGTAGCGGAGCGCGTGCACTTAACCGCTAAGCCATAGGGCCGGCCCCAAAGCATAATCTCTTAACGTGAGCACATTAACCACTGTGCATACTGCTTCCTAATAATATCAATAACCACTATCTTTTTTTTTTTTTTTTTGTGAGGGAGATCAGCCCTGAGCTAATATCCATGCTAATCCTCCTCTTTTTGCTGAGGAAGACCAGCTCTGAGATAACATCTATTGCCAATCCTCCTCCTTTTTTTTCCCCAAAGCCCCAGTGGATAGTTGTATGTCATAGTTGCACATCCTTCTAGTTGCTGTATGTGGGATGCTGCCTCAACATGGCCAGACAAGGAGTGAGCCGGTGCACGCCCGGGATCCAAACCTGGGCCACCAGTAGCGGAGTGCGCGCACTTAACTGCTAAGCCATGGGGCCGGCCCCAATAACCACTGTCCTTTAAAGATCACTTATGTCCTGGGAGTTATGTTCGGCTCTACAAAAAAACAACTTCATTTTATGGAATCCTCATAACAACTGTGCAAGAATTGGTATTGTTATCTTCTTTTGCAGATGAAGAAAACAAGGTTCAAAGAATTAAATAACTTGCCCAAGGTCACAAAGGCGATAAATTTTAGAACTGGGCTTCTATCTAGCGCTGTCTGTCTTTGAAGCCTATACCTGCTCTTAAGAGTATCTGGCTGCCTCATTATGTACCAGGTTATTGTTTAGGAACTAAGAGATAGCACTGAAATCAGTATGGTTTTTAGATACAAGCACTTAAATTTTAAATTATGATTCATTTAGGATATTAGACCTTAAACAGAGAATGACTATGTTCTGTACTGACAAGGAATATGACAACTTGATTTATAATATATACATTCCTTTCATATATATAATATAGATATTCCTTTCATATATGTAAAACTTATTTGGTTTTGTAGCTAAATTCATTATTTTAAAAGGGGAGTTAATTTGATAATGGCCTCCTCTGGCATGCCACCGTGACCAATCTGCTTGCCTGTTTCTCATGAGAGCTGGCATTTTCCCAAAGGAAAGCTCAAAATTCAGTTACTGTGAATCTGTAGATTACATGTATTAAAATAATCTCCCACATTATCAGTTCCATAATAACCAAGTTAGCATATTGAGTCGTAATCCATTAAGAAATAGTTCTATCATAATAGGAAACTATCTGTAAAATAGCTGTCACATGTTTTATTTTTCAACCTTTTGCTGAAGCCCCATGCCCTCTTGACTCAGCACATCCCCTAGCACTCAAAGGAAGAAGGGAGTAGACCTGTAGGATGGTGACTGGAGCTTGTGTGTGTGGCTATTGAGAATGAAGGATAGATAATAAAGAATCCACAGGAAAAATAATCCAGAAATGCACAGTTAATCTATTATTTTGGAGGCCACAGACTAATATATAAATTATCTTGGTATTTAAATTGCTATACAAATAAAAAAAGGAAGTAAAATAATAGAATTGGTCTGAAATTGCCACCTGTACCCTGTCATGTACTTTACTGAACAGAGATTGAAAAGCACTGTAACTGTATTAATTGCCAGTCTGTTTCTCAAGCTTAGTGTCTGAACAAACTAAATCTAAGGAATCACGTTAGATGTAAGCTACTTGCTCTACCATATAGGCCTAGTGTAGGAATATTTTCACAAAATGCAAACTGTTGGAGGCAAAGACTATACACAGCTCTGCAATTGAGAAAAAAAGATTTTCATAGAGCTATTTGTTTGGAGAATGTTTTGGATTTTTACTGAAATAGCATAAGGAAGAGACTGTGAAAATAGCGCTGGAGACCAGCAGAGGACCTGGAGACAGGGCATCGTGTAATGCCGTCTTGCTAGGTTTTCCAGTGGTGTGTCAGATACATTGAGAATTGCCGGTAACCGGTGTCTGCTTGATTGCTTGCCACTGCAGGTGATTCTGAATTGCTGTGAGAGCGGAACACCCAAGGAGACAATAGAAAATTTGCTGCATAGGATGTCTGAAGAGAAGACCCTGACTGCTGAGAGTTTGGTAAAACTCCTCCAGGCTGTGAAGATGACGTTCCCAAAGCTGGGCCTTCTGCTGGAGAATTTGCAGAAATTAGCCACTTTGCCGAGCACCCCAGGTATTAGTTAATTGTGGACTCTCTGGACTGGAACCACTCCTACAGAAAATTATAGCTTGAAACACCCTTTTGGTTCCATGCTGGGCTTGTAAGACAGTGTTAAGAAATGCCATTGCAAAACAGAAACTAGCTGTCACAAATCAGTGATTCTCAGTATTTCTGGAGTTAAGATCTGAAATCTGAGAGTGACTCTTCTCCATTAAGCTCCCTCATGATGTTCCTATTGTTCAGGGTTTGTTTAAGTGTGGCTTTCCCAGGGCTGTCGCATATCAGCTGTGAACGCCTAAAGAGCAGACGGGCTCACAAAGCACATGATTTTGACAAGCTATGTTGACAAATGTGACAGCAAAAACTCAAATCTTGATTTCCGTGTCCCCATTCGAGTGCTCTTTGGTTCCAGCAGTGCCCAGAATTAACTGCCCCTCAGTCCATTCAGCTTGGGGAAGTGAGCCTATATCCTGTTCCTTAGAAAAACTACCCAACTCCAGCCAATTCTCCCCTGTCCGAGAGCGTTTGAGACTGAGATGGTTTTCAGAAAAAGGATATTTGGGAAATGAGAGAACTGTTTTTCTAGCTTATAAAAGTAGTATATACTTATACAAACTTGAACAATTTAAAAAATAAAGAAGAAAATAACCTTAAATCCTACCACTTAATTATATACCACTTAATAAAATATTGACATATTTTATCTATTGCATTATATTTCAATGTTGAGATACCATACTATATTTTATAATTTCCCCCATTTAACAGTATAACATAAACATTGTCCCTCACATTTCAAAAATCTCCCTATAAGCACATTTTTTGAAGGCTATGTAGTTTTCCATCATAAGGATGTATGTGACATATTACTCATGCCCTTGTTTGGGGCACATGTAGTGTAATGGTTAAGACTGTCAAGACTATCTGGGTTTGCGTTCTGACTCATTTTGTAGCTATGTGACCCTGAGCAAGTGACTTGGCTTTTCTGAACCTCATCTCTCTGCTGTGAGATGAGGATAAGAATGGAACCTGTCATATTCGTTTTTGTAGCCACTATGAGATAATACATGTAAAACATTTAGCACGGTACCTAGCACATAATGGGCACTCAGTAAATGTTAGTTATCTTCATCATCATCATCATCATCATCATCATCATCAGAAATTATGCATAGATATAGATTTTTTCACCTTTACATCATTTCTTAAGTTAAATTCCCAGAAGTGGAGTTACTGGGCCAAAGAGGAGAATAAAGTTTTAAATATCTGCAAAGCTAAGGGAAAGGCCTGAGAGTTTTGATTTTTCTTTACTTTCAAGTAAATATGATTCTTAAAAGAGTACCTAACTGATTGGCTCAGAGGGCATGCACACAGAAGAATGATGGGTCAGCTCCTCTCCACAGTCCTGACTCATGCCTGCTTGTGTGCTGGATCACCCCATGGATCCTTGACCTCAGGCTGGACGACTCACACCCCTTGAATCTGTACATCTGCATCTCTTACAAGTGCAGCCTTCTAATTATCCCCCTGTTGAGCAATTGCTAGCTTCTACCACCGGGGGCTAACTTTCAAAGTGTTACTGGTTTTGTGATCCTGAAGCACCGCGTGATTAAGTGTAGACCAAGGGAGATCTGAACACATGTGTATGAGGCCCCAAGCCAGGAGCTGAACTAGCTCTCCAGAGGAGATGGAGCTGTCTTGCTGATCTCTCTCCTCTTTCCTTTGTAACCCCGTTCTCTTCTGTAGGAGAAGCCCTTAAGGAGACTTTGTTGTGTCAAACGTTATTGTTTTGCTAATATCCTTACAGTCCAAGCAAGTGCTGATTATGGGACTGAGCTGTTGAGACGGTATCAAGAAAACCTCTCTGAGATTTTCACTGACAACCAGATGTTATTAAAAATGATCCCACATGTGAAGAGTTTAGCCTCTGGAGAAAGAGAGGTAAGGGAGATGGAGGGAGGGAGGGAGGGTAAAATGAGAGTAGGAATAAAGGTGAATACACATGTATATTTGTAAAATATGTTTATATCTTATATAAATATACACATACAGCCATGTTGAGAAATGCTAAGGGGTCAGTAGAGAAGGAGAAATAGGTGATTCAATTTCTAAGGCAGAGTGACAAGTAGGATAGTTGTAATTTCTGCAGTGATAAGGAAACGCATTGACAAGGAGGAATGAAGAAGCTTGTCATGTATAAAACCCTCTCAGGTTGAGCGAGGTGAAGGATGTTGAAAAACTTCTCCCCAGAAGTATGTTCACTGGAACCCAGGACTCAGCCTTGCAGCTCTGCAGCTGGGCTGGTGGCTGTGAAGTCCCTCACATGTGTCTTTGTGCTGCATCTTGAAGGTCATGGAGAAGCTTGTGAAATGTGACTCTGGTTCGGGTGGTTTCAGTTCTCTGATGTCAGCAGTTCTAGAGAAGCAGACTCTCTCTGCAACAGCTGTTTGGCAACTGCTGCTCATGGCTCAGGAGACAAAGACCTGCCCATTGAACCTGCTCATGGAGGAAATACGAAGGGAACCTGGGGCCGATGCTTTCTTCCGAGCAGGTGGGTCACCTCACCCCTGTCATGGCTTTTCCCCCACCAGAGATTACTGTCAGTCTTGCCAGAAAATAGGAGAGCTCTCTTGTGGTAGTCTTCCACGTCCCTACCATTGGAAGTCAGGACTGACAGTTTTGTTCAAGGACATGGGAGTTTGTAAACTTTTTAAAATAAAATACACAGTAAACATTCTAAGCTTATATTAATAATTATACTCTGATTACAGTGAAATTTGCCATTTTCCTCACTCCTGACCCCAGGTAGGAGACAGGAGATAGGTGAAGTGTATTCTCATTATGGAGAGTTGAGTTGAGAAAAGGTGAAGGGAAAAAATGATGCTCATAGTTTTACTAATGAGTTTCCGATCCCCCTTTCTTTCAGTGACCACGCCACAAAGTGCTGCCTTAGAAACCATCCTGAGGCATCACAAATTGGTCCTAGAGGCCATCCAACAAAGGATTGAACTCAAGTGCTTTACCTCAGAGGAGGAGAACCTGGCAGAGACTGTGAAAGAGGTGTGGTGGGAATAAAAACACATTGTTTCAGGGAGTTTTACAGAGTTGATGCCTCAGACTATCTTGTTCCTAAGGGAGGAACCAGCTCTGTAGAGCGCCTGCTGTGTGCCGGGCCCTGTGCTGAGCTAACATTTCATAACACTTGCTCTTGTAATCCTCCCAACTCTAAGTGGCTAGCAATGTCATCTGCATTTTACAGATAAGGGAACTCAGGCTCCAAGGGGTTCAGTAACATGTCTAGGATGCTCCAGCTGGGCCGAGGTGAAGCCAAGATTTGAACCCTGGTTCATGTGACTCAAATCTAGATTTATCCCATTTGTCTGAACCTAGGTAAACTCAAAGGGAACCATGATACTGTTCTCTAACATGTTCTAAGAAGCAACTTCTTTCAGAGAAAGGAAAGTAAAATTGGTCTTATTACATGCTCTATTCTGGCTTCTAGAAAGAGCCAAGATAAACATAGAAAGAACAAAGCTTTTGCCCATATGGGGTAGCAAATAGTGCCAACTCATTTTCTGAAAGGCTTCTCACAGTGTGGCCAGCATCCCAGAAAAACCAGGTGGGGATTGGGGTGGCATTCATGGATGTCCAGTCCAGGATCATGTGTATCTTGAGTGGGGAAGAATTATAAAGGAACATAAAATTAAACTGCACATTCACCTGTAGAAGCTTTTGATCCAAGTTAGGCATACAAGGTGTGCAGAAGGGCTGGTTTCTAACTCTGTCTACACAGGTGACAGCCCCACCTCAGTCTGACTCTCAGATGGGAAGAAGATGGCACACATGTCTGTGCGGCTTCAGAAGAGAGATTCATCTGCTAGACTCTCTAGCATGCCTCGTACTTCAGAGATGGGGCTTCTGCAGTTGATCAGTTTTAGCCTCACTAATTAGTCTCATGCCTGCCTCCAGGGACGTCAGGTTTATTTAGATAGACTTGAAAAGAGCAGAAATAAAATATCTTCCAAAGTGAAAATTCCTTTGGCCATCTGTGGATGGTTTAGCTTTATTTTCTCATATACTGACTCTTTTTGCTGATAGCTCTAACATTCTGAAAGAAGATGGCTTTGAAATAATATTCTTGGCCTCTTTAAAGCCCCTATTTGAACCTTTAAAAAGCTGTTTCTTTATGAAAGAAAATGATGTTTAAAAGGGTACATCTAAGTATCTAAAAATGTGAAGCCACTGATCGTACAGAATTACTTCCAGACGTTGATGCATTATGAAAAATTATCTTGATCTTCAAGACAGAAATGCCAACAACCAAATCCTATAGTTTTAAGCTTTTAATATTAAGAGCTAGAAAAGTTCTCTGGGTGACTCTTGGTTTTTGAGAAGATATTTCTCATAGAAAATGCTTAATGCTTCCTTGCTTACACCTTCTCTGTATTTGCACATTTGTCTTGACATGTGCCTTCTTTTTATTATTTTGTTAATTTCCCTGTTCTTTGGAAAAGAGGGCGCTCCACTACATTTATCACAAGAAATGTAAACTTGTTATAGATGGAACAATGCCGTCCTGAAATTAGCTTTTTGTTGTTGTTGTTGTTGTTGTTGAAAACCATGGAGAAAATCTGCCGATATTAACCACAAACCTTTGTCTCATGGTATTCATTTAGATTCTGAGCATTTCCTCTGAGACAGCCAGCCCTGAAGCTTCCCTGAGAGCAGTGCTGAGCAGAGCCATGGAAAAATCCGTCTCAGCCATTGAAATATGTCACCTCCTGTGCAGCATCCACAGATCTTTCCCAGGCCTACAGCCTGTCATGCAGGAGTTAGCATACACTGGTAAGAAACGGGGGGTAGGGTCCTGTCAGGCCCCCAGCTTTTCTCCTTATTGGCGAGAAAAGGCAGCAGTTCATTTAAGAGTTCATCCATCACTGCCTTATTTATTTATTTTATATGCCCTCAGTACTTAGAAAAGTCATAGACATAGATGTAAAATGATGCTATTTGTGTTTATCAGAAAGTAATGATGACGATGATATTGCTTCAGAGTTTTATGAGGGTCCCAAGTAGTCTCCATTCTCCTCTAAGAAGCAAAGGTTAGAAAGCAAAGTAGAAACATAGAGAATTCCCAGAGCCATGAGATTTCTCTCCTATGCAGGTTTCCTTACTCAGGAAAATGGAGAGGAAGGGTGGAAGGTGAGTAATAAATTTCACCTTGAAGCCAACGATGAAGCAGATGAAAAGGCGGCTGAGCCAGCTGAAGAAGACTGCCGGTCTGCGGAGCAGGACGACCAAGGAGAGACTGCTTCCTTGCCAGAACAGCAAGAGAAAGACACTTCTGCCTCCCCAGACTCTGCCAAGAAGAGCTTCGTCTGTAAGGCCTGTGACAAAAGCTTCCATTTCTACTGCCGCCTCAAGGTGCATGTGAAGCGCTGCCGCGTGGCCAGGAGCAAGCAGGTGCAGTGCAAGGAGTGTAACGAGACCAGGGATTCGAGGAAGGAGCTGGAGAAACATCAGCTGGAAGCCCACGGTGCAGCTGGAGAGCCTGACGTCCCCAAGAAGAGGAAGAAGAGGCTTCCGGTGACGTGTGACCTCTGTGGAAGAGAATTTGCTCATGCCTCAGGTACATTCAAGAAGGGGAGGTAGCAGAGGATGGTAATTCTGAATACTGTAGTTTGGATTCCAGGCCTTGCCTCCACTTGTTTGCGGTAGGGCTGTGGATGGGCCTAGAAAATAGAGCAGGTTCCTACAGAGGCGGGGTAAGGTTCTGAGAAGAGCATGAGCTCTGGAATCAACTCTGAGCTTTAATTTCCCCGTCTGTTAAATAGGCACCCTGCTACCACCTACTGTTTTGGATTGTTAGGAAGATTTAAGATAATATAGCTAAACTCCTAGTACAGTGCCTACAGTAGAGTTAATACTCAATAAATTGTGGTGATTATTATTCATAATAATAACCAGCTGTTGAACACCTGACTCTGGTTTCCATGAAGCACTTGTTTCTTGATAATAAACGAGAATCACGGAAACCCCGGGATGTATAGTTGGACTTCTTTTCCCTTGCCCCAGATGTTGGATAAACCTAATGAAACATAAAAGTGAGTTTTGTTTCACTCTTTCTGGGTGACTGGGTCCTATTTAAGAGAGAGAGAGGATAGGAAAGATAAACACAGAACACTTCACACCTGATCCAACCAGGAGTGGGACCAAGGTGACTTTTGGAGTGCCAGGTGGGGGGCAGATGAGCAGCACGGCTATGTGAGGTCCAAGTGAGCGTGCCCTGGTGTCCTGTGGTCCATGCTGTGCTTCCTCTTGAGGCCTAGCCTGAGACAGAGCTGTTATGTATCCTCACGCTGGACTCATAACATTGATTCCTGGTATCTCTCTGGCCCCTGGCACGGCTTCCCTAGGCATGCAGTACCACAAACTGACAGAGCACTTCGACGAGAAGCCTTTCTCCTGTGAAGAGTGTGGGGCTAAGTTTGCAGCCAATTCTACCCTGAAGAACCACCTTCGCCTTCACACTGGGGACCGCCCATTCATGTGCAAGCACTGCCTGATGACCTTCACCCAGGCCTCTGCCCTGGCCTACCACACCAAGAAGAAACACTCAGAAGGTAAGGCCTTGGAGACTTTCTGCATTTCTGCTGCAGAATTGAACTGTGTGAGCTCCTTAAAAGCCCATTTGGAATTAGGCATGATATATATCTCAAGGAGATTAAAAACAAAAACAGAACACAAAACCTCTACGCACACAGATGACTAGGACTACTTACATGCACAGGCATGTAAAATGCTTATGGTGAGAGTTTCTGAAGAGAGGCTGGCTGACGTAGTATTATGGCATTACGGTTGTAGAATTTCTGTAATGCCAGGAATTCCCTGGGCTTTGAGGTGGAGGTCAAGCATGAGAAAAACGTTGGTGGAGCACCTGCTGTGGATCTGGCAGTGGTGGATGCTGAGTGACTGGTTGGAATTCCTGTGCTCACAAGCTGGTGGTCTAGAGAGGCTAGTACAGAGACAGTTGTGGGGCAGAGCCGTCCGTGGAGGAACGTGGACTACTGCTAGGGAGACACAGAAGAAGGAGGCAGGAGTTTGTAGTCCAGTCGGAGGGGAGGGGGTGCGTGGTCAGGGAAGGCTTCTCAGGGGATTCTCTGTGTCACATGGAGCATTTGTGTGTAAGTAGTAATGCCACCACCACCTCACCTGGATTGTTGTTGTAGCCTCCTGACTGGTCTCCTTGCTCTCACCCCTTCCCTGGACAGGCCCAAGTGATCCTTTTGAAACTAAACCATATCCTGTCGCTTCTGTGCTCAAAACCCTGCAAAGGCTTTTCACATTGCTCAGTGTAAAATCTGAAGGCCTTACGATAGCCTGCCAGGCCCCACATGAGCAAGTCCCTGGGTGCCTCTGACCTCATCTGTGACTGCTCTCCCCCGACGTGCCCTGTTCTCCCATTGCAGCCTCCACACGAGGCCTCAGAGCTGCAGGGTACCTGCTGCAGGGCCTGTGTTCTGCGGTTCCTCTGCTTGGAGCGCTTTCCCTTCAGACACCTCCGCGCTTCACTCCCTCACCTCCTTCAAGTCTTTACTCACACTTTACCTTCTCCGTGAGTGCTTTTCCTGACCACCCTGTGTAAAATCTCGGTAACTCAGCCCCAGTTCCCCTGCATTATTTTTCTCCATAGTGCTTATCATATGATATTATCATCTGCTTTATTAGTTTATTTTGTTTATAGTTAGTCTCCCCCTGTTAGAATGCATGCTTCGTGAGGGTAGAGCTGGTAGTCTTTTCTTTTTCCACTGCTTGCATCCGTGGCACTCAGAATAGTACTTAGCAATAGCTGGCCCTCAGTAAACATAGGACTGAGTGAATGAATTTCTTGAGCACTATTCCAGGCACTGGGGATGGTGTAACTAGACACACCCCGCTCTCGTGGAGCTTACATTCCAGTGGGTAAAACAGACCATAAACAAATAAATTCAGACAGTAGTAACTGCTGTGAAGAAGAGTAAAGCAGAGTAAGCAGTGAGAGGACAGGGTTGGGGGTGGGGCCCTATTGGTATCGTCAGAGAAGGCCTCTGAGAGAGGAGATTTGAGCAGAAACCCGAATGAAGTGAGAGATGGAACCAATGGAAGATCTAGGAAAAGAGTGTCTCAGTGCAGAACCCCCCTCCCCATGTGGAAAGGAGCCTTCCCTGTTTGAGACCAAAGAAAACTAGAAGGGGCCAAAGCATAGCAAGCGAGGGACGAGTGTTGAGAGATCAGGTCAGAGAGGTCACCAAAGGCCAGATCTCAGAGGGTCTGACAAGCCAAGGTCAGGACTTTGGTTTTTATGCGAAGTGTTTTAGTTTCTATTGCTGTTATAACAAATTACCACAAATAGTGGCTTACATCAATACAAGTGTGTTATCTTACTGCTTTGGAGGTTACAAGTCCAAAATAGGTCTTATGCAGCTAAAAGCAAAGTTTTGGCAGAGTGTGTTCCTTCTGGAAGCTCTAGGGGAGGATTTGTTCCTTGCCTTTCCCAGCTTCTGGAGGTTGCCTGCCTGCCTTGGCTTGTGGCCACATCAATGCCTCCTCTGCTTCGGTCATCAATGCCTCCTCCTCTGACTCTCCTTCCTCCCTCTTACAAGGGCCCTTGTGATTACATTGGGTCTATTTGTACAATCTAGGGTAATCTTCCCTTTTCAAGATCCTTAACTTAATCACATCTGCAGAGTTCCTTTTGCCATGTAAGGTAACATTCACAAGTTTCAGGGATTGGGGTATGGACATTGGGATATGGGGCCATTATTCTGTCTGCCACAGAAAGCCATAGGAGAGTTTTGAGTAAAGGAGTGGTAGGATCTCATTTACGTTTTTCAAAGTTAATTCTGGCCACTCTGGACATTAAACTGTAATAGGGCAAGAATATGGTCTAAACAGGGAGTCAGGAGCATTGCAGAGTCCAGTGTAGAGGTGAGAGGGTTTTCAGCTAGAGCTGTGCTGGGCAGTAGGGGGGAGAGGATGTAAAAAACGTTCAAGTTTGGGGATATATTGTTGAAAGTGGAAGTGACGGCACTGATGGATTGGATGAGGGATGTGAGGGAAAGAGAGGAATTCAGGATGGCTTTGGGGTTTTGGCAGGAGCAACTAGTAAATCATGCTGCCGTCTACTGAAGTGGGGGAAATTGGAGCGTGTGTGTGTGTGTGTTGTGTGGTGGGGACAGAGAATCAGGAGCCCTGTCCTGGATATGATAAATTTGAGATGCCTATCAGACCTCCAAGTAGAGAAATAGAGGGACAGGCGGTTGGATATCTGAGTCTGGAGTTCTAGGGAAAGCTGCGAGCTAGAGCTATAAATGTGGGAGCCATCAGTGTACAGATGGGCTATAAGGCTCTGAGATAAGATCATCTAGAAAGTGAGGGTAGAGAAGGACTGAGTCCTGGGCTTCTCAATAATTTCAACTCTTGAATCAAGAAATGCTTTTTTTGTAACAAAATCTTATTTCAAAGTCCAATATATAAAAAAATGAGGTTGATTGCTCTAGTTGAAGTAGGCCCCAGGATTTGAGGGGTCTGGCCCTCACCTCCTTGATTCCCCACTTCTCTATTGGCCCATAAGGGAGCTTGGAGGAATGCTTGGTCTAGTGTTTTTTACAAATGCCGGTTTTCCAGACTTGCTCTTTACTTATATTTTCTAATAGTTTTTGTCAGTCTGGTCATTATATTCTCATTATGTGCATGAGAAAATAGAGAAGCCAAATGATTTGTAATAACTTGACAGCAAGTCACTGGGAGAAGGCTTTCATTCTGAATCCACGTCTCTCACCTTTGTGTGCAATTACGATCCTCACTGGATATGTTGCAAGGAATCCAGACTCAGCTATTTCTGGGCACAAGGATGTATCTGTCGCCTTGGAGTGGAGAGAGCTCCTCCATACTTGTGTAGCCTGGTTAACAGACGGGGAATCTTGTGTCCTTATTCCCCAGGGTGAGGAGACCACCCTGACCCCCTCCCTGTGTGATCGGCTGTGTTTGAGGTGCCATCTGATAGGATGGCTCAGACCTCTCACCCAGTATATACAAATTGCCTGAGGTTTTAATGTCATCTCCCAGATTATACTTCCCTGATACATGCCTTAGAATGTGATTTTGTTTTTAGGAATGCTATAAATGTTTAGTGCTGGCTCTACTAAACTCATGTGTATTTCCAGGAAAAATGTATGCATGCCAGTACTGTGATGCTGTGTTTGCCCAGTCCATTGAGCTGTCCCGCCATGTGAGGACCCACACCGGGGACAAGCCTTATGTCTGCAGGGACTGTGGCAAGGGCTTCCGGCAAGCCAATGGCCTCTCCATCCACCTGCACACCTTTCACAGTACGTACTGAGATTGTGCGTGTAAGGCACTCAGCACCAGGCCTGGCCCTGAGAAGGCATGTAAAAATCATGACAGAAGTTGTCACTCCACCAGAGCTGGGCCCCATTAGTGCCTTCCCCTCCCCTATTCTCCTGAAAAAGCCAGATTTCCTCATTCCTATTTCAAGAAGAATTCCATTTTACCATGTCATTGTGTGATGCCTATTTCTCTGTCCAGGCTGTTTCCTTGTCTTCCTTTTTAGCGCACCTGGCCATGTTTGGCTGAGAGAAGCAAATTATGTTTGAAGGAAAGAGCCTCTATAACAGAAGGCCAGCAGAGCCCCAGAATATTCCCATTAGTCCACCGAGCTTCCATTTTCTACCCCCACGCTCCTTCCCCGACTCTCATCTTACAGTCCTACCCGCCTCTCCCCATGGAAGCACCTCGAACCCTGTCTGAGTTAATGTATACCATTGTGAGTGGCCCCTGGTCACACGCCCTTAAAAGCCTCTGCCCAGCACTCTCTCCCAAGGGCCGTTGTATTCATTAAGTTAGTAGGGTCTGCCTCATCTTTCTCCCCTTCTACGAGGACTGACACAAACAAAAACAGACACGGGAAGGAGAAGGACTCGCTGTGATCCCTCATTACAGCATCAGGAAGTCACCGATATGGCATTTGCCGGCCACATCACGTCCTCTTCCGCCGCTCTTGTTGCAGCAGGAGTGTGATCGTACAGCGCATCAGGGAGGCTAAGAGCTTGAGCTCTGCACCCACAAGCCTGGCCTTGAGTCTTGACCCTGCCATTCACTTCCTTGAGAGCTTAACCAACTTTCTTTACCTTTCTAAGCCTCTTATGCCCCTTCTGTAAACTAGAGAAAATACTGCTACCACCTTGGATTGTTGTAAGAATTATGTAGATACCACATGTAAAGTATGAAGCTCCGTGCCTGATACCTAGGAAATGCTCAACAAATGCCAGGTACTATTATTGGTGACAAGAGCAGCCCTCTCAGGTGCCATTTGTCCCATCAAAGCATGTCTTTTTTTTATACCATGCACCTTGCATCCCTTTCTTCCCTTCTTCCCTCCACACCCCTGTTCTCCACACACCAGTTTCTAGCTGTCAGCAAATACAGTGCCTCACGAACACCTGCCTTCTGTGAAGACATTCAAGTCTATTGTCAGCCAGCCAGCAAAGGGCTTTGCCAGAGCTCCCCTATGTGCCCAGCATGTGGCTGCTGGACAGCGGGCACTGCAGGAGGAATATAGAGTGCCACCCTGTCCCCCAAGGAGTTTATAAGGCTGTCCAAAAGATCCAGTTGCAATAGACTTCCAGATGAGTGAGATTTGGCTTGGATCCAGTGCCACAATTTTGATGTCCTCTCAACCTCTTTAAATGACATTCTGCTTTAGTCTCCTTTTCCCAGTAGCATTGCATGGGAGTCAGGAAAGAGGAAGACATTATCAATTTTCAGAATGGAAAGGACCCACAATACTTTGCTATGCCTTAGGGTATGTCATCCGCAGCAGGCCCAGCATCCAGGCGCCTCCTTCATTGACTGTTCCTTGCCTGTTTTCATAGGACCACATCATTGCATATGGAGAAATGCTTCAAAGTATCTTACAAGACATGTAAAACTGAGATTTCAAGAGCTCATATCCACAGGGAAACTAGTTAATGATACCAAATGCTGCTGCATATCAGAATTCCTGAATTAATATGAATCAGTGCACACATGAGATTGGCTTGTGGGCTGGACCTTTCCTGTGGGCAAAGGATTTTATTACTAAAACATTCCACTTTCTGTTGCTTTCAGAAAAAGACTGAAGTTTCTTGCCATAGGGATGGCAAATGTGTTCTTCCTCAGTGCTAGTTCTTATTTTTGAGGTGCCACTGAAGAGTTGGCATGTCTGCTGAAGAGTTGGCATGTCCAGTTAAGCATGTAGCTCGGAGCACAGCCCTGGGAGTGAAAGCTGGCATTGTTACCCAGTTCAGCCATCTCCTACTTGTGCTGTTGGGCACTCTCTAAGCTTTGATTTCCCTAATCAGTAAAATAGGACTGATAATAGACCCTACTCATAGGGTTATTGGAAGGATTAAGTGAGTTAATACATCTAAGGTACTTAAAATATGCCTGTCATATAGCACTCATTAAAAAACATTACCTATGAAAATGTTTTCACTGTTGAATCTAAAGTGGGGAGCGGGGGGCCATTCCTCCCCTCAGTCATACTACTGACAAGAGAGGGAATGGTGATGCTCTGGGGAGCGTGTTGGAAATCTCCAAAGAGAATTAGAAAACTCAAAAATGCCCACTGCAGACGAAGAGCAAGGGCGATACTCCCTGGAAAGTAGTAAAATAGAATTTAACTTGTAAGATGTAAAATGAGGAATTAAGGTGAACGTTTGATTCTGCAGAGGTGGTTAATCCAGAAGCCTTGGAGGAATCCCACCTCCTGGGGTGAAGGTAGGGGTGGTCAGGTGATCAATGCACTGACTTCTGGTCCTTGGAGTCTGTGACACTGCATGCCCTCTAAACAGGGTCTTGCATCTGGAGCTGTGTACGACAGCCTACATCTCACTGACTGCTGCCTGTGGTGTTTTTCTTCCCCTCCCCCTTCCTCTTATGGACGTCCCTCATGGAACCAGACATAGAAGATCCCTATGACTGCAAGAAGTGCAGGATGAGCTTCCCCACTCTGCAGGATCACCGCAAGCACATCCACGAGGTGCACTCCAAGGAATATCACCCCTGCCCCACTTGTGGGAAGATCTTCAGTGCCCCTTCCATGCTGGAGCGGCACATGGTGACTCACGTTGGAGGGAAGCCCTTCAGCTGCGGGATCTGCAACAAGGCCTACCAGGTGACCCCAGGTTCTGCTGGGAGCTCTTCCCCCCGTCCCTCACCTACTCTCCCTTTGGCCTTCCGTGATTCCCGTGTTTATGGTTTGTGGAGCACATCTTGCCTTCAGGATTTGGCTGGTTCTCATGAAGAATGCAGCTTGTAATTATTAGATTCTCTAAGGTGATCTTGTCAGAGTAATGCAGTCGGGGAGCTTTAATTGGAGCAGAGTTCTTACCCCTCCTCTTAGATTTCAGCCTGGTCACGAACTGAATGCTGCTTTCCCCCTTGGGTCTCACATTCTCTAGAACCTATTGACCCCATGTGTCGAAGGAGGTGAGAATGACAATGGGGTGTGTAACACTGCCTGGAATTATCTTGTTTATAGCACAATTATTGGGGTTTTTTAAAACTCCCAGGGAAGGACTCTGCTTTTTAACCTTAGACTTTGGTATGTAACTAAAGTGAAACCCCATCTAGAACTAAAAAGAAACCACATCTATGAGAAACTCTAAAACCACAGAGAGAAGAATGGTCCTTAAAAAGAGGAAGATTGGCAGTGGATGTTAGCTCAGGGCGAATCTTCCTCGGCAAAAAAAAAAGAATGGTCCTTGCTGGCATCTATAAGATTTGTATATAGAGAGAAGCACAGTAGCTAATTTCAGCTCAACAAAAATTGAGAGCTGACTTTGTGCCAAGCCTTGTAAGTAAGACCTGGGCCTCGTCTCTAGGAAACCATGGAATTGTAGGGAGAGCGTCCCGATGCTGCTCTGGAACCCGGGAAGGAGGGGGCACTTGTGTATGGAGCAGGGACAGCACACGCCCCCTGCTCCAGCAGGTTTCTCTGCTGCACCCTGGGCCTCTGAAGCATGAGGTATAGCCCAGTGGTGAAGAACAGATCTCTAGTCTGAAGGCTGGGGTTTGAATCCTGGTCCCACTGTTTTATACTAATTGTGTGACCTTGGGCAAGTCTTGTACCTCAGCATTTGCCTCACTGGAAAGATTCTGACACCTCCCTCATAGGCTTGTTGTGAGGAATGAGAGTTTCTGAAGGAATCAGCTGGGCCCTGCCCTGTAGTGGCCTCAATAAATACATAGGTCCTTATTCCCTCTCCTCTCATGTCAACATTTGGTGCAATAGATGAGTGTGATTCCAGAGCCATAAGCTTACCTGAGAACATTTTTCTCTCGCATGAGGGCCTTGTGAAGTCTCCAGCTTGCTGGAACATTCTAAGCCCTAACATTTGCCAAATTTCTTGCAGCAATTGTCTGGTTTGTGGTACCACAATCGGACCCACCACCCCGACGTGTTTGCTGCTCAGAACCATCGATCTTCCAAGTTCTCGTCACTCCAGTGCAGCTCCTGTGACAAAACCTTTTCCAACACCATTGAACACAAGAAGCACATCAAAGCGGAGCATGCAGGTGAGGTTGGGTGCCATAGATAGGGAGTGTGAGCTGATGAGTGGGAGTGGCTTGGTGACATAGGATCCTGGGTTCTATCCCCAAATCCCGTGTCCCAGTGCTAGACTGGTATGCTGTGGTAATTACCTTTGTTCTGCCCCAGCACACCGGAAGGTCCATCAGTAACAGTAGTTTGAGTGGCACTGGTTCTCACACCCGGAGACCTAGAGCAGTGTAAGCTCCTACCAGCCCCTAAGTCATGATCAGTCACAGCACATGGGGAGAGTGGCAGCTTTGGTGGCAGACAGGCCTGGGTGGAAATCCTGACTCCAGTGCTGATCAGCTGCATGACATTGGCAAGTGACTTCTCTTTTCTGAGCCTGTTTCCTTCTCTTTGGAAAGTCAATCATTAAAACCTACCTTGCAGGTAAATTTGGGGATAATCGCAACAGCTAGCAGTTATGAAGCATTTCCTGTGTGCAGGGCACTGTGCTAAGCACTCTGTGTGTTGTCTCATTTAATTCTCACAACACCCCTCTCTGCATCCAGGCAGTCTGGACCCGCATCTGGTGCCCTTTACCACTAGATTGCACTAATATGTCATAGGTATAAGGATCCTGGCACTTGGTAGATGCTTGCCAAGTGTTAGCCATCACCCCCACCCCACCCCCAGCCCTGTTACTCTCCAGCCTGAGAGAGCCATCTTTTTGCTCTTTCCCACCACTTCTTTCCTCGTGTGCTCTACAGATATGAAGTTCCACGAATGTGACCAGTGTAAGGAGCTCTTCCCCACGCCGGCTCTGCTGCAGGTTCACATCAAGTGCCAGCATTCAGGTCAGTGCCCCTCCTGAGACGCTGCGGGGCTGGACCCCTGGGCCCAGGGGTGACTCTCATCTCCATCGTGCACAGCCGGGCAAACTAGGCTTAGTTACTTAACCCACTTGTGCCTCAGTTTCCTCCTCTATAAAATGGGGACAAGTGTAGTGCCTACCTCATAGGGTAGCTGTGAGAACTGAATGTGTTAGTACTCAGAAAACACAGACAGCCTCGCACCTGTAAGCATCCCTTAAGTGTTACCTGTGATTATGGTTGTTACTCCTATACCTCATCAAATCTAAAATGCCAGTTATAAGATGCATCCTTTTTAATGCACCATTAAGAAAGAGAAACTGTTGTCAATTAAACTGTGCTTTCTTATCACTTAGAATTTGCAGGTTATTCTAGGTGCTGTTTTGGACTTAATTTGACATAGATTTTATGCACTCTTGTATGCATACATAAAAAGGGAAACATAAGAAATAAGTTGATTAAGGTAAGAATCCAGCTTCTCAGAGTAGCTGTCAATTCAGATTGTTGACATGCACGTTATTCCATGTGGTGGTATACTCTGCCATCAAGAGCACTGGTGATGGAGCACATGCTAAGGCCACTGGGTTTAGTCTCTTGAGCATTATTTAAAACTAGTCTACTTTTGATTCCTGCTTTAGGAATGTGGCTGAACATCCAGCCCTTACCTCCTCCCTCCTAAACCATTTGACTCCTGTGAGTTAAAAATATGCACCACTCCTGTCTTAGGGATTCCTCCAAGCCGTGGACATGCATTCTACAAGTCTTGATGCTGCCCTGTGGGGCAGGTGCAGTTATTGACAATTACACCCAACTGCCACCTAGCCCATAGCAGCCATAAGATGCCATGGATCCCATTTCGGAGATGTTCTTAGAGTTGATGAGATACAGTATTGTCAGCATCGTTATCTACAGTTGAAAGAATAATGGGCTTCAGCAGAGACAGATTTAGCCTGAATCTAACACTAATGAAGCTATGGTTTCAGGGCCCCTCGTTTGCATGGGAGCCTTCCAAAGCTCTGTCTCTAATCCTGTAATTTTGTGTTATTTTTCCTAAAGAGGGCTCCCCAAACTGTACAAGCTTCAGGTCCCACAGAACCTGAAGATCTGCCTCTGGAGCTGACTCTGCACCTCAATCCTCATTGCTCCCTCCTCTCCCTGCTCTTTTTTCTCTAAGTCATTCCACCCATAGCCGTCCCTTCTGTCTCCCCTCCTTCAGGGTTGCAGCCGTTCAGGTGCTTGTACTGTGCGGCTACTTTCCGCTTCCCGGGAGCACTGCAGCACCACGTCACCACCGAGCACTTCAAGCAGTCGGAGAGCACCTTCCCCTGTGAGCTCTGTGGGGAGCTCTTCACCTCCCAGTCCCAGCTTGACGGTCACTTGGAATCTGAACACCCAAAGGTGACGGGCACTGAAACCCAAGCAGCATCCTCAAAGATGGTGCAGGTGATTCTGGGGCCGTCGGATATGAGGGTGCTAACACGGGGCTCCTAAGGCTTCTCTGGAGGCAGCTCTGTCACAACACCCAGCCTTTTTCACTGGGGCGCTCAAAGGGTCCCAAAAGTAATGCATTCATGACAAAGAGGATCTTGTACAAGAGTGTCTCTGGACCTCTTACCAAACAGAACAGAAAATTCTAGTCTCCTAATGGCTACATTTGAAATGCGCCTGGGTAGAGGGAGCTTGGGGATGGACAGTGTCCCAGAGTCTGCAGCATTTCCAAAAGCAGATTGACCTTGGCTTCTCCTCCCAATTCACACACTTTCCCACCTTCTGCGAAACACTATGTGATGTGGTGCGAGTCGCAGGAAACCTCAGAGAGGGATGAATGAGCTCTTTGTTGGGACCACCTTCAGCTGAAACACTCTGCTAGCTCCTCTGGGCTGGGCACATTTGGACATGTCTGGGCCTCTCACTTTTACCTGAGTGAAAAGCTCACCTCTGATGTTTCAAGGCTAAGCTTGCTCCAGCCCCTCTCTGTATCTCTGGTCCTCTTACTGCTCTTGCTGTCTTCTCCGGAGACGGCGGGCAGAAGAGGAAAAGAAACTCAGTTCTCTTGCTGTAAACTGATGGGACTGTCCACTGCCCAGTCCCGTGGAGCAGGTGTTTGTAAACCATGTTCTTACTGGCCTCTGTGGGGAGCAGAGAGCAAGTCAGGTGGGCAGGCCTCTGGGTGACACTCCTGCTGCCATATCAACCAGGCTCTGCTTTTATCTTTTTTAAATATTAGGATTCTTGGTAAGATGTCCTTTGGGGGCAAAAAAAGGATTCCATTGCTAAGAGAAAAACAGTTTGAAAACTACTATCCTAGATGATTTTTGATTGAACATCATAATTGGTCTCTTCATTCCCATCGCACAGAGACATGGCTGCACTTGGCTTCCCCATTTCTGCCCACTCAGGTCTAGTGCAGGGTGCTCTCTGCCCTCAGCTAGTTCTCCAGAGCCATGGTGGCTGTGCCTTCTGTGGGCACTCTGGATTGATAATATCAGGGAGCATCAACCTGTCCTGAGCTTCAGGGGTCAGAAGCATCAACTTGCAGGTTCAGGCAGGAACCGGGTATACTTACCTACAGGCTAGTTCTCCCGGAGAGAGGGAAGTCATCTTTAACATGACTTTAACATGATGCAGATTTGGAAGGGGTATGTGTGGCCTGCCCTCCAGCCTGGTGAGCCACAAGTAAGCTGATGAAAGTCACGTTTGTCCACCCATTCTTCCTCCTGTAGCCACGTAGCCTCCAAGGAAGGCTCTTAGCCTGATCAAGGTCCAGAGATGCCACCTTTGGCAAACCGAGGCTTCTGGTAAACCATTCCTGCTTCCATGGCTCAAGCATAAAACTAACCACTTTCAGTAGCATTCCCTTCACACGGCACTTACCTCAACAGTGTGATCCTTGAGACAGGAAAACCCAGTGAGAAACGGAGCCAGCTCTCACTGGTGTGTAATCATAGAGTCGGGCGCCCTGAGATGGCTGGGCTAAATTACAGCAATTTAGCACACAGTTATTTAAATTGTTTGCCAGTCTTCTCTTTTGCATCACTGGTGTGTTAGATTTCCCTCTTCCCATTAGGCACATGTAATTGCTCTCCTCAGGTGAAAACATAAATATCATCATTACAGCATGAGATGAAAACCATGTAAATTCTGGGGAGCTGACTGTGGACACTGCCCAGAGCAGCCTCGTGGTCTTTCCTTTACAGGTGATCCACACCCCAGAGCCGGCAGCCCCGACAGAGCAAGTGATCACTTTGGAGGAGACCCAGCTTGCTGGTTCGCAGGTGTTTGTGACGTTGCCAGACTCGCAGACGTCTCAGACCAGCTCTGAGCTCGTGGCGGTAACCGTGGAGGATTTGCTGGACGGTACTGTGACCCTGATCTGTGGTGAGGCCAAGTGAGCGGCTGCTCCTCCCATGGAGGGTCCTGCGTCTGCAGCAGAGAATATGCTTGCCCTTTGCTCCCCACCCCTGGCGGTCCTGAGTGGGGAGCATCTTAGCCTAGCACCAGCCAGAATGGTCTCACTTGGAAAACAGACAGAAGTGCCACTGTTCTCATAGAACCAACGATGTGTGAGTCATCACCGCCAGCACCACCGCCCTCCGTAGCGGGCAGGCCTGTTTCCCCACAAGTCTGCTGCTGCGGCCTCTGGGACACTGTCCATCCCCAAGTGGAGCGGAGCTTCTGAAATAGTCTGAAAGAGCAGTGGATAGGAGCTCTCAGGGCAGCTAGAGAGGTGCGGGTGCCAGCAGCCTTCAGTGTGCAGAATGGCCATTAGACATGGGTCTGTGGCCCACAGAGCGGGGCTGCAAATGCTGCCAGTGCCTTCTGACCGTTTAAAAGTGAGAGAGAAGCACCAGCACACCATCCAGGGACCCCAGCCTTGAGCACACTTGGCCCCTTCCTTGCTTCCAGAAGTCCTCCCACCTGGTTGGGTCACCCAGCCCCCATTGTTGTGGCAATAGGACAGGTGGCAGCGTGTTAATGAAGGAAGGCCTCATTTCCATGCTGAGTCCCGCCCTATCAGTACAGTCAGCCCTTCCCAAAACGAAGCCTTTGGAGTGTTTCCACTCCAGCAGAACAGTTCTGCTGGAATTGTTCCATGTGAGGCCATCCAGCTGCAAAGACTCTGCCTTTCCAGGATATTCTTTGTGGTGTTCTGTACCTGAAGGCTGGTTCCTGCAGCTTTTCCGTGTTGTCCTCATCCCCTTTCCCTAATCAAAGCCTAAAACTTGTACCCAACCTGGAGGCCATGCCCCTCCCTCTGGAGCATGTACTATAGCTAATGAACCAGCGCCGGGTGGAGTAGCGCCCGTGATTGCCCCTGGCTCTTCCTCCTGCCATGGTCTTGCATGCTTTGTGAGTGGCCTGCTGTCTGAGCTCTTCCCGGCTACCACTATTACTGCAGGTCAGTGATCCTTTGGAGTCTGAATTTCACAAAGCTTTTTTATCTTCAGTTCCTAAAATATAATCTGATAATTAATGGTTTGTGGAATCCATTATGAAGTGCAATTAGATGGATATAGGTTCCCGCTGTTTGGAGGGAATTACTTGCATTTATCTTCCTGTCCTCGGTGCCAGAATGTTGAAGTCGGCTAGAGCAGTGCTTACACGTCCAGCAGGGCTCCCTGCCATGTGGTGTGGCCTGACCCCTTGCAGAGGCTAGTGCCCAATTATATCCCTTGCCCTCAAGCTACAGGCCGCAGAACACAAGCCACCCCTTTTTTCTAAGCACATTTCACATCACCAGGTACAAGAAGGGGTGGGGGGGTCAATCTGGGTCGTGGTCAGGACTTTTATTGCCACCACACACTGCTGGAAAGGCAGGAAGTGGAACCTTAATGCTGACCGGTTTGTTCACAGCTGGCCATCCTGCTCTGTGCAGGCAGCTGGGCCGGCTTACCCCAGGCGTCTACTCCAGCCCCGAGTGTGTCCTCATTTTGATATGCAAATCACTTGAGCTGGTCTGCTCAGGGATCTTTCCATTCCGAAGTAAATGAAGTTGTCAAAGGCACGTGGGCCTCAAAAGCCAAAAACTGACCAGAAGATGGTGCTCAAACCTTTAAGACTTCGCCTCCATGGAAGGCCCTCACTGCTTCTGCTGAGGCTGTCTCTATCTTCTTAAGGATTTCAGTCCTGTGAGCTGGCAGACCAGGAGAGCTCTTATCTGCAAGTGGCAAAATGGCACTGAATCTCCTCTTGGCACCAGAGAAAACCCATTGAAAGAGAATGGAGTGGCCCGTGCCCATAGGGCCTGGAGGCCAAGCCCAGCGGACAGCAGGCTCCTCACAAGCTGTAGGCGAGAGTTGGGAATCACAGTGTCATCAGGACTTCTTCTAGCCAAAAAACAAAATAAATTTAAAAATTAATTGCTGAGGGCCTGTAGGGGAAAGTGATTTTTCTTTTTTAAAAAGTCTTCTGAATAAAGAAAGCTATGCATTTTAAATCCAAGTTTCAGATCCTTTCAGGTACTGAGAAACCCTGTCTCAGGTTTCTGACGGAGACCCAGATTGTGGCAGGACACTCGTTTTCTTCAGAATCACCAGACTTGCAACTCGCTTTGCCAGGAGCAAACAGAGAGATGGGATTCCCTGCTGGGTGTACTCGTTCCCACGGCATACTCGGCGGGCGGCACGCCCCGTGCGGTTCTAGGAAGGATGAGGGAGGGGTCCATTCTGAGTCCAGTCTCTGATCTGAGGGGACCTCCGCAAGACGCCGCCCTGGCAGTGATTTTACAGTGTTGCTCCCTGGACACCCCCAAGCATGGATTTTATTGTAGGAAGACTTTTTCTAGCCATTTTATTATTTTCTCCCACTTCTGCCCCCAAAGATCTTCTGAATTACTGCCACAGAGGACGTTGTTACCGTGTCTCCTAAGTCCACACCACTTACTTTTGCGTGGCGGTGATGTTCTCTTTGCCTCGTTGCTCTGGGTACTGCCCTTGTGGCCTCCGGGCTGAACCCTGGGGCACTCGCAGTGGTGTGAAGGAGTCTCTGGGCTTCTTGGAACACTTGGAATTGTTCAGGGGGACCCCAAGCCTATCTGCTCCCAGAGCTCATGAAGCAGCTGGTGAGGAGGGAAGGGCAGGCAGATTCCAAGCTGGAGTCTAATGGTGTGGGAATAAAGGGGGTCACTTATGGAACAGGATTTGCCCCTCGCAGGTAAGTGAGACAGCAAATAGATGATTCAAGAGCAAGATTGCTGTAGGAAGATGGGACTGGCCAAGTACGTGAGCAGAACCTGGGACCAGAGGGGCAGCAAAGGGGCAGAGACAGGCATGTACTCGTTTAGAAAGCCTGTCTCTTCTGTCTCAGAAGCTCTGTGTTTGGAAAACTTTGAGCCCAGTGAGTACCACAGTGTGCAGTGTGAATACTGGGTTCCTCTGGCGATTCAGGCCCTCTGTGAGGAAGCATCCTGATTCTCTCTCCCTCCCACCGACCACAGACCGCACATCAGCCTCGTCCCCAGGGAAGAGCTCTGACAGTTGGAGGCTGAGGGATGAAATGAGGTCTAGTCCTACAGGGGTGAAGGGGAGACAAGGTCCCTGTTCTCTGCTCACAGTCTAAAGCAGCAATACTCCCCGAGTCGAGGAGAAAGATGAGAGGGGCCCAGAGTCTCTCACCCCAGGTGATGTTGCAGTCTCCACAGGCTGATGACATGGTAATGGGCTCACTGTGCCTTTAAAATCTCATGTGCCTGAGGTCTGTGGACGGACTAAGGGATGGAAGAAACTACTAACCTTACAGAGAATGGGTCTAGGGGATAAGCAGTGTTTCTATTAAATGGGGCTAGACAGTTGGACATTGGTGGAGAGAATACTGGGAGGCTATAATCAGTCCTCCCACAGGAAGAATTCAGCAGCCCAGCCCCGCTCTGCTTGGCGTGGTGTATCCTTGGGATGCTTGGGAGGCAGGGAGAAAATGGGAGTAAAAGAAAGATCTGGGGTTGAAGGGAGTGTCGAAGGCAAGCTGATAATTGTTTTGTTGCCATGGAAAACCTTGGAGCTAGTAGTTCTTGGGCCAAAAGCTCAGAAGCACAGCCACAACCCAGAAACTTGCTACACCTGCGCCGTGGCCTGTAAGGGGGAGAGAAGCTGCCTGTGCTTTGGGGACTACGTTGTCGGAGGGGAAAAGAAATTATCCCTGGGCTAATTGAGATCACTTCCAAATGGTGGAGTGTTTATCGTTTCCCTTACAGAGGCCAGCCCCACTGCCACCACCCGTGGTCAGGACAGCTAGCCAGCACGTGATGCTGTGTAAACTGAATTAGAAACCATTATTCGCGTGCAACTTGCACTCCTCTATAGAAATAAAATATGTGCTTTGAAAAAAGTTATGCTGCCTGAGTTTCAAGTGGCCTGTGAGGATATAGACCTGTTTTCTCTTGGGTTCTGGGCAGTCGGATGGGCACAGGCTTCATAGGCCTGGTTCCTAGGGCTCTTGAGGAGCTTCAGGCCGTGTTAGCATGGCCTGGGGGTGAGGGAGGAAACTCTCCTGTCAGGTGGAGTCTCATTTCCTGAAGCCTCGCCCAGGGAGCAAGTGTGGTATGGCGTCTGAGACAGGCTGTGGGCCCGACCTGGGTACGTCCCAGCTATGCCACTTCCAGACTGTGTGACCTCAGGTGAGATGCTTACCTCTCTGAGCTCCCATCTATAAATGAGGGACATTATTGTATTTACCCCCACAGAATTGTAATACTAATTAAAAGCCTGGATTTAGTGTGGAAATTTTTAGTTGTTATTAATAAAGTCCTTCACATACAGGTCAGCCATTCCTTGCGATTTCTAGCACTGAGGAGAATGTTCATTCCCGCACCTTTACGGGTCTCCCTTCTTCCTCTCTCTCTGAATCCTTAGAGATCCCTGTAGCACCCACCACTTTTCATTTATCTCTTGAATCTCAGCTTCCCCCAGAGCACAAAGTGCTGAGCAGATAACTGTAAAATAAGCAGAAACCTTTCGTGGTGAACAGCTGAAAATGTCACATTGCTGGCAGCCAACAAGGAAACAAGAGAGGCAGACACACAGGTAGGATATACAGCATTTCTGCAGTAAGAATCCATCCTGTAAGGCAAGTGGAGGTGCGTCAGATCCTGCAGGCTCTAAGCTCAGGTCATCCCCGCGGCTGGGGGAGGGGCTGGCGAGGGGTGGCTCTGTGCTAACCTCTCCTGGGACAGTGCTGGAGCAGCACGTACTGAGCCCTGTCCAGAGCCCACAGGCCTTCATGAAGGAATGCACCTCTGCCTCAGCTGTGTCGTTGGAGAGAGGCTGGAGCTGCCTGTCGTGTCTGGAGCAATAATCCTGAGAGTGTCCCAGCAGCCGCAAGGGGTAGTTGTAACACACTGCCGGGCTCCAGCTGTGGAGGCGAGTTGTGCAGAGGTGAAGAGCTGCTGCTGGTCAGGAGGGATGAGCAGAGGTAGGAAATAGGCCGAGTGCCTCCTGGTGATCTGTCATCTTAGGCCGGGCCGCGGGCTGGCTGTGAGAGGCTGAGCAACACATTGGAAGGGCGTGGACTCCAGCTTCTCAGCCCTGACTCTGCACAGATGTGTGACCTTGGGCCAGTGTTCCTCACAGTGAGTGAGGAGCAAGTTAACCATTGTAAAATGCCTGGCATGGTGTAGATGCTTC